AAAATAGAAACTACTTATGTTTAAAACACTCATTAGATGTATGGAATGTCATAATGAACAACAGACATCATTTTCATTCAAAAATAATCCCAAAAGAAATAAGAGTGAAAGCTAGAGGACGAAACAATACACAATAATCAGGGTAAGGGCGGGAAGATGGACAGGCCAGGAGAGCAGGCTTCTCACCAGAGGGAGGCTGGGGAAACTGGGCTTCCCACTGAGCCTCAGCACATGGTGGCTAATGACCTGTCTTATGGTCAAACCAGCTTCCAAGTAAAGAATAATTCCTCAGAAAGGAACTAAAATGAAGAGAATGTGAAAAGAATGGAAAACATCTGAGTATCTTCCCGTGGAATAAGATCAACCAATAAAATTATTCAGTGTTTTCGTCACAGACTTTCCCATACAGCCTTCAACAGAGCCATCATCTTCACAGCTAACTGAACATCGGGACATCCTCTTGTGTCTAAGTTCAAAGCAATGAAGAAAAGTAGAAGCAGAGCAAAGCATAAACTGTGGCGGGCATTGTCCATTGGCACGCCAAACTCTTAGTTGTAAAGACAAAATCTTTATAAGTTGAACGCTTTATGCCAATATCTTTCACCAGTATAATCTGAACACATATTGGACTCAGCTGGGACCCATGAGGGGACAGTATTCTGGCCGTGACTTTACACACACACACACACAACACACAACACACACCAGCATGTGTGTATGCAGGCTTACACTTGCACACGCCAGATAATTTCAATGGACATCCAAAGAAACGTCCAGCCAAAGCTAGGACAGCGCACTTCCTTTTCCTCTTTACTCAGCTAAATGAAATAGGATGGAGTGATCACAGTTGGGGAGAAAACCACAACCATCCATGGTGTTCACCATGACCCAGGTAGGACCTTACCTTCATCCCCATAAGGGATCTCCTGAACAGAACCTATAAAGAGGGCAGGAGCCATTACAACACAAGAACCGGGAAATATCCATGTTGGACCTGAAGCGAATACCCACCAGCCATGACTGGGAACTGTGTGCACCCTGGCATAGATTGGTGGTAGGTAAGGGCATGAAAAGGCATGATGGATTTCTGTTCCTAGGTTCCAAGTCCCCACCATCTTCTCTCCAGGTAACCTGTTTACTTATCAGCTATTTAAAACTTTGGATCAAGCCAACCTGCTGACAGATGGTCTTATAATCAATGACTACCACTGAAATTTAATTTCCAATTGCCTTAATTTAATACACGCTATAATATACTTTCGATGGTTAAAACGAACAAACACATTGGCCTTCCAAGTCACTAGACTTAAAAGAAGCCCCTTCTGACATTCAAGGTCAGCTAGACTGATGTAAATATTTTCCACTGTTCTCCAGTGCGCATACTGTCAAGTCTGGCTGAGAGACCCAGAGGAAAAACAAGAACAGCACTGCGTTGGGGAGGTGGAGGAGATCCAGGCCCTTGGCCTCGCGTGGGGGTGCATGAGCAGAACCACAGGGCACTCACATGCCGGGTCTCACCTGGCCTCCCCGTCTCCCGCGGTCACAGTGTGCTCAGCCATACGTCCTGCCATATACAGAGATGATCTGCCACCACTTTGGGCTTGTGCCCTGGCTACCATTTCCCAAATAAATGCATTCATCATAATACAGTAGTTGAGTGTTTACAGTCTTAATGGTTTCTACAGTTACATCCTCACAGGCGATTACCAAGTGGCATTTTTATTTGCCAGATACAAAGGATACAGTGAAATCATTAGATATTTGTAAGCTCTAGAACAAAACCAATTTGTACAACAAGTCATTTCAAAATTATTATAATCTCTGCATAATATGGATATAGGTACTTACTGTCGCCTATCCTGACTTGCAATATATTCTCTGCCGGGTCCTATTGAACTGGGGAATGAGCAAATTAGCTGCTGCTATTAGTACAGGACCTCCAGAGCATACCTTTTTCAGTTGTAATACCACGCATTCCCACAAAAAAAGAGGAGATAGGTCTGTTAAAAGACAATTCTTATTTCTTTTATAACCGGAAGTCATGTATTCATTAATTATTAGAATGCCATAAAACGGTCCCGTGTTGTTATTTACCATGATAATGACGTCAGTTCCCATAGATTTCATAGTTGTTTAAGCAGAAGAACAGGGTACGCATCTTTGAGAGTAACCCTCAGGCCAAAACCAGATGCTGGAGACAGAGCCAAGGAATGTGTCAGATACTCATGGTGATACCAAATTATTCTCCCCAAAGATGGAAAAAGACCAACCCTTCAGGTAAAGCCATTTGCAATATTTGAATTTATTACCAAATGCCATTTTTCCAGTAAAATTAATTTAAGAAATGTACTGACTTTTGCTCTCAGATCATAACTGAACAAATAAAGTCAAAATATGGGCAATCACTAAAATACAACCTATTTCTAGGTAAACGGACAACACTACTCTCGTCTATTTCTATCAACTCCAAAATACACTGTCCAGGGATAGCCTACACCTAACCTCTGCCTTGACACACACAAACCATGCAAAATGTTCCCAGTGGCCACAGAGATTCATGTCTTTTGTGCAGGAAGGACTTGGTGACTTTGTGTTTCTTATGACGTCAGGGCAGAAGAGCCATGACTCCATTTTGGAGACACACGCCCATGTCTCCTGGTGCTCTGCTCAGACCTGCCCCTGCCACCAACCAAGACCACAAGGCTCAGTTCTGGAAAGGAAAGCAAATGCTCAGAAGAACTCCTCCACCTGCCCGGATCCAGATCCCACCCCCCCCTCCATGAGCCCTTCCATCTCTTCTTCCACAATTAACCAACAGCAAAATATTTGCATCTGGGTCATTTTTCCTTTGTCTTTTAATGACAGCCCAGAAAAAGCTTGACTGGTTCCTTTGGGCTTACCTTTAACCAAATCCACAATGATTTAAGTGAAATAAAAGGTGTCTGTTTGGGTTTCTTTGATGTGGAAATCAGATACCCAGGTATTACTTTTGTTTGCATAGGAAATTTCCCACCTTCACTTTTTCCTTGGTATTATTCTAGGGAAAGGAGTGCCTCACTGCTCTTATCACAACAGCTCTCCTTGGAATCACAACACATCCCCAGATTTGCTTCCAACCTTCCCTCTAACTTCAGTAGAACGCAAAGGGCCTGCCTGTGCAAGGGTGAGGATTCAACATGACGCAACCCTTAGCATCCCTGGATTGGAGAAGCAAGGGAGAAGGCAACATCATCCCTGCCTTCCCTCCCCGGCCACAGGCACGAGGGGGACAGCATCGGCACCCCACCCTCTAGACACAGGTTGTGGGCACGCAGACAGCCATGCAACCTATATATCCACAGGATGGTCTGTCACACCAGTGCACAGGACAAGGCAGGCAGAGGACCGGGAAATGGTCAGCAGCCCCCACTCCACACCTCCCTGGCCTCTTCCTGCCTCCTTTCCCATCCCACCCCCACCTTCCATTTCTCCCCACAGAGCTTCAAGTTCTCCCAAATTTGGGTCTCCAGCACCGGCTGAATCAGCTCATTCCCACCCTACCCCCAATTGCCTGAAGACACAAGTAAAATCCCATTTGTGGGGGGAAAAAGTCTACTCAAGTTGCCTTGACATGGGAAGCTGTGACGAAGACCAGCTAGAGCATTCCTGCAGAGGATCTCAACTCCAAAAGGCTTCCCGGCCGCTCCTTTTTCCTCTCCTCCTCCCCCTCCCCCTACCTTGCTCCTGGCGGCCGCGGCCCCCAGACCAGGCAGCGGGTTCCTCCTCTGGGCTCAGGGACTCTCCTCCACCTCCTCCACCCTCGAGGGCTTTGCGTTTCTTCGACATCTCTCTGCCCTGGGCTGGGGCTTTGGGGGTTTCTGTTCCCACCCCCGGCCCTCCCCCCTCGGAGAGGAGAGTGAAGGTGGGGTTAGGTGGAGGGGAGTGAGCGAGGACGGAAGGGGTGGGGAGTAGAGACCAGGGAGGGAGATGGAGGGCAGGCCCTTTGGAGAGGCAGGGAAGGCAGGAGGCAGGGAAGGGCACAGAGATCCCACAGTCCGTTAGGCAGAGCTGCCCTACGTCTAGGGGGCTGTTTGCGCTCGCTGGCGCGCTCCCTCCTTCCTCCTTCCTCTTCTTCTCTCCACTAGAAGGGTAAGCTGAGAGGGGAGGAGAGCTCAGAACCCAGGGAAGAGAGGCTCCTCGGGCCCCTCTGCTGATTTCTTCCTAATCTGGGAGGGGGTGAGGTGGGATGCTCTGTATTGGGACCCCTGGCCCTGTCTATTCATGCAGGAGTGGGGTTCTGGGAGGGGGGCACTGCTTGTGATGTTTGGTGGGGGATGTTTTCAATGGATTGCAAGGAAAATTGGGTGGAATGAAGAAAATAAAATGCTGCAGAATGCAATATAGTGATGCCTTCAGGTGCTGGAGACTCGGAATCCTCCTCCCCATGACATCATGTAGTCTTTTGCGAAAAGGGGTTGGGAGAGGTGGGGGGTGGAGGGGCAAGATGAGTGGCAGCAGAGGTGAGGGATGGAAAGAGGAGGAGGGGGATCTTGCCCCCATCCAGAACTCAGGAGGGAGGCCAAGAAGGGAGCAAGGAAGGGGCTGGGAGCACCAGCAGCTCCTCTTAGCTTCTCCATCACGCACCTGCCAGGCTAGCATCACCACGGATGCGGTTTGCAGCTGGGGGGCAGCCTTCGCAGGGAACTTGGAGCTGCGAACTCCGGTCAGGAGGCAGCCCGGAGGCAATCGCTCAGCGCTGGGGTTGGCTGCAGTCTCTCTCACCTCCTGTGCAGCCCCTTGAGCCTTACAGACTCAGGTTTATTCTTCCCCAAGCCCACTAGCCAGCCCTCCTCCAAAGCAGTCATGTCCCCAAACCACACACACGCACACCGTCTTAATGCCAGAAAGGATGGACGGAAATGATGGGGGCGGGGGGGGGGGGGGAGTCGGAAAAAGGTCAGAGTTAAGTTTTTCCGGACTCTCAAGGGTTAAATAATAGGTAAAAGCAACTATCAACTTACCCGCCAAAGTGTGCTGAAGCGCGGATCTGCTCTCCGCTTCCTTTCAAGTTGGTACGTTTAAAAAAGAGAGAGGGAAACGGAGGGAAAAAAGAAGCCAACCGGCCAGGAACACGGTGGGTCCAGGGCTCCATTGAGAACTGCGCAAAGCAAGTTGCCAAGCGAGGCCGGTGGCCCAAGTTCGGGACCCCTCCAAGAACGCTCCTTCCGCTCCGCTCCGCAGGCATATTCCAAAGGCTCCGGGCACCCTGGGTTTCGCGCAGATCTTCTCAGAAAAGGGGGAGACAACTCACAACCGGTGGGGTGTCCTTCTTTCCCCCCCGCCCCCCGCCCCCGGGATCGCCAGGGCAGCCGCGTGGAGCACTCTCGGCACCAACGAAGACCGGTCCATTTCAGCCCAGCGTCTCTGCGGCCGCAAGTTGGGACCCGCACATCGAGCGAGAACAGGAGTGCGAGTGTGAGCTCGCGCGTGTGTGCGTGTGTGCGCGCGTGTGCCAGGCTCTGCGCCGCGCACACTGGGCTTTCGGGGGTGCATGTGCTCTCAGGAACGACTCTCCCGGCTGCCTGGAACTTGGAGAGTTTTCCTTTAAGCCGGAGCTGCAGCTCGGACACCCCCCGCGTCCAACAGGAGGCGATGACGTCTGTAGCCTCGTTGCCACACAAGTCCCCAGGCTGCCGCTGCCGTTCATTGACAGGAGCGGGCGCTCCGACGTCAGCAGCCGGACCTTTGGCTCGGAGACGGCTCCCACCCCCGCACCTGCCAGCCCGCCCCCGGGGAGGGGGGGTAATGAAATCAGAGCCGCTGGGAGGGGCCGGGGAGGCTCTGGGCTTGGGTGGGGGGACTCTGATCTGCTCGCTTTGTCCTGGAGCTCCGGAGTATATAAATAGTGCTGTCTCCAGCCAGACTTGCACCCCCTCTTGCACGCCCCCGCAGTGCTCCCCCCGCCTGCCCCGGCCCCTTGTCACTTAGTATCTGGCTCGCTCAGTCTGGAGGGAGGCGGAGGAGGGGGCGGGGAAGCGGGGAGTGGAAGCAGACGTTGCTTCGCTTGCCTCTCCCCATTCATAGATTCGGTCGGAGTCTCAGGGCCGCGCTGGGCTCAGAGAATCGCAGTGAATGGATGGATGCGTGCCCGCGCGCGGGGACCACCAGTCCGCGAGGATGTCACGCCTGCGGGGGGCGCCATCCCATGCGGGGACAATCACCTTCGCCTTGGGGGGGAGGGGGGAGGACCCCAGTGACCACCCTTAAGAGGCCAGGGGCCTGCCCTTTCCTGCCCCTCCAAGCCCAGGGGTCTTTTTCCCTGTGTAATGCAAGCACGAAAACAGAAGGGAGCTGTGCTCAGCCCCCACACGGGGAGAGGGGGAGAGCCGGGCTGGGGAATGGGCCAGGGCCTGTCTGCCACCCAGACCCGTAGCTACACGGGTGGCGGGAGGGGGGGGCACGTGGCGCAGGGCAGTGGCTGGGGCCGAGGGTGTCGCTTCCCTCTGCGCACCACAGGCAACTCAAACCCGCTCGCTCGCCCTCCGCTCCGAGCACCCAGGGGTGCGGGGCGCCTGGGTGGGGGTGCAGTGGGAGGGTGCAGGGGAGGGGGTTGGCCGCAGGGCTGTTCCCCAGCGGACCGGACTCCCAGGAATCCGTGGGCTCACGGCCCCCACGCGCTGTGGCGGGGAGCCGCCTGGTGGCTCGGCCCGTGCCGAACCCCGGAGAACGCGGTGCCCCCCACCCTCCTCACTGCGCACTGCCTTGGTTTCTCACCCGGGAACCCAAAGGATTGAGTTCTGAGGCGCCCTGCACTCCAAAGGAACTTCCCCCGCGCTCGCAAAGACGTCCATGGGACTCGGGGCACAAATGTGGCTAAAGTGAATCTGCACTCCTTGGCTACCCCAAAACCTGCAAGCTGGGCGTGGGAGACAGCAGGCCACCAAGAGCATGGTGCCTGGCTGCGGAGCCCTTCAGAGCCAGCTTCTGCCCAGCCTGTCAGAGAACTTTCCAGGGGCTCCTGCCCTTGCACTCGGGCACTGGACCCCAGTCCCTCTTGCTAGTAGAGGAAATGCCTTCACCATCCTCCTCTGTGTCCCCCAGGTCATCCTAAGTCATCTGCAGGTTGCTCCCCAACATACACACACATGCCCTGGGTTTTCCTGGGAGAAAACCATCCTTAGGCCCCTGTTGTCCCTCCCCCACCCAGTCTCTCTCCTCTTCACAACCAACAGCACACAGACCTTGCCCCAGACTGCTTTCTCTCCTCCCAGTGGCTCTTGAACCAACCCCAGTAAGACTGTCCTAAGATTTCTGCCGCAGCTACTCAGCAGAACTGCACTCTCACCCAGGCCACCTGCCACCCCGGGCCAGCTGCTGCACCAGACAAAGGTGAATTTGTGGTCCTCGTCTGGCTTTGAGAGCCAACCACACTGGGCAGACTTCATGCTTCCCTCCTACAAACACATCCTTCTCTTAGTCTTCAAGACACCATGCTCCTGGGACCACCTCCCACCTTTCTGGCCCTATCCCTGGGGTCGCATGGGTTGAATCTGGAGCTCCCCAGCTTCCTACCGTTGGAGGACAGGACTGGCCCCCAGAGACCTTCCCTTCCCTCACGACCTGCTCCCCTGGCGCCTCACTCAGCCTCGTGGTTAAGTCCTATCTGAACACTGAACACGGAAGACGTTTTCATTTATGTATGTAGCTCAGGCCTCTCCCGGAAAGGCTGGACCCCGATCTAAGTCACACCTCCACCTGGTGCCTAGACGGCACCAGAAACATAACAGGACTGTAACTGGGTTCCTGACGTTACCTTCACCCCAAACCTGGTCTTCCTGCCGCTTTTCCCACCTCAGTGAATGGGCTTTTCAACCTTTCGGTTACCCTTACGCCGAATATGTTGGAGTAACATGGACTCCTGTTTTTTCCTTCCCTCACCTTCCATCTGTCAGCAAATTCTGTGCTAACATGTCCTAAACGTGTCTGGGCGCCAAGTCGCTCCTACCACCCCACTGACATGACCCCAACCCCACTACCTCCTGTGGGGGTTGTTGCTGTCTCCCCCTCACCCAGCTCCCTGCTCTGCTGGTGCCCCCCTCACTCTGCTCTCAACACAGCAGCCCGGGAGCTCCTCTTAAAATTCGACATCATGTCACTTCTCTACTAAAAATCATCCAGTGCTCCTCAGCTACCTGAGTAGCAGCCAAAGTCCTGATAGCGATCTGTAAGTCCTACCGCCTGGCTGCGCTTATTCGTCTTGCTTCCCGCTCCATTGTCCCCAGCCCCACAGGCCTTTTCTGGAACCCACTTGGAGCTGGGCACCTGCTGATCCCTCTCTGGGCCCTTCTGCTGCTGAATACTCCCAGTGCTTGCTCTTTCCCCCTTCTCAGCCGTACTCTGGGGCCTCCTCACAGAAGCCTCCAGAGTCCTCCCAGCCTAAAACTTGAACGCACTTCCTGTCCCTGGCCTTACTTCATTCTCCTCCTTGCATTACTGACGGTTTACTTATTTGCCTTGTTTATTCTATCTCCCCACTAAAATGCTAGCTTCATGATATGGGGATTTTTTTTTTGCCTTTGTTTATAATCACATAAAAACTAGAGTTAGCTTCCCAAAAGTTCTTCACGTCCCCACACATTCAGGAGACGTTTGATTTGTTTGTTAGCAAGTACAAGAAGGTGCACTTGGAGGTTCAGGGGGCCTTTTTTCTGCCACGATATTCCCCAAATAAAATATCTCTATGAGAGGCTGTGAGCCCCCACCCAAGATCACCTGTTAGGTCTCTGGGTGGTCCGTGAAGACTTTTCTCTCCTACAAACTGTCCTCTTCAACCACTCTCGCTCTCTCCCTGGTGGTCTTTCCTTTCCTGCCCACGCCTTATGCCTGCTGTCGAGGGGCCCTGAGGGGACTTGCGGCTTCAGAGACCATGCTCTTTCCCACCAGGCCTCTTTGTACTGTGTTCACAGCCCTTCTCATCCAGCACATGACTAGTCCAGTTCCTGAAATTTTAGAATGCCCGATCTGAGTCAAACATTTTATTCCTTCAGTAATCACTGAGCTCCAATCCTGGGAGTCCTGGGATCTCCCCTCCAGGCTCCTGATCCAGTGGAAGGGAAGCAGGTGCACACCCGCAAGAGCCCTTTGGCTGAGCACTCTCCCAGAGAGGAGCATTAGACAGAGAAGATCGCTGCGGCCGCTCTCACCTAGCCGGGTCTCGTGCAGTCTGCTAGGAACTCCACAGTGGAGGTGGTGAGTGAGGCCAGAGGCTTGAGAGAGTGGATGGTCTGCAACATCCTGGGGCACTCCAGTGTTGGGCTGGAGGATGAACAGCTAATAAGGAGCCTTGTGGCCTCACTAAGGAGTTGGAAATGTATCCTGCAGGCCTTGATGGGTTTTCAGAAAGAGATGAAATGGTGTTTTAGAAAGAAAATTGTAGAGTGGGTCAGAGGAAGTGAGATGAGGAACTGGGTGGCAGCTGAGCGAGGCAGTCACGGGATAGGAATTGAGCAAGGAGATGCTGGTCTCGTGCTGGCAGCGTGTGGGAGGGACCCTGGGACCATGGAAGTAGTTCGAGAATGCAGGTGTGACTGTCTGCGCTGGAAATAAGTTCATCTTTGCGGAGGATGCCCGGGTAATTGACATCAAGGAAGCAGACGGCTGAATCCACTTTGCTGGCACAGACAATTGCACTTGGACATCTGTCGCTCACCTTGGACACCTGGAAACTCTGTGTTACTGACCTAACCTGAGCAAATCAGGTCGGAGGAGCTCACACGAAGACTTACAAGAAACAAGCCAGGGCCACCTTGTTCCTTTCCTGTGGGGGATGCGTCTTTGTGGGGACTGGGATTCTCTGCCCCTTTATTCTGGCCACGCCCTTCCTATAGCAAGGAAGTGAACACATCAAATTATGGGACACTGTATGGGCCTCAAAGCCATTTTGTCTAACAATGGAAGGGGTAATGAGCTGGTGCTGTGGGGGAAGGAAAGGCACTGTGGTCTCTGATGGTGCTTCCCTGGCTCTGCAGCCAGGACATCCCCCGGGGAAGGGGAGATGCTAGCTTTGACCCTGGCTTCACTTCACTCTCCCCTTGTTGCCTTGCCCCGTGCCCCTGCTTCCACAATGGCCTCCTGAGACCCTAAGGAGTACTTTAAGAATAACAAGCTCTGCGGGGACTTTGGGATTCTCCTGACACCTGGAGGGGCTCATCTTTAGTGCAACTGCATCCCACAGTCAGAGACCCATTCATTTTTCTTTTTCCTGGAAGAGTTTCTAGATTCTTCTCACTCAGAGAAGAAGTGAGGTCTTGGGATAACAGGCTGTTAATCTGGACCACTTCCAAGAACAGGTGGGAATTGCTTGTTTTTCCCAAGTGTGCTTAACTGAACAGCCCGAATGTCTGGTATGTAGTCCTGATCTGCCACTAACTTGGACAAGTCACCTACTGTCACCAGGTCACAGTGTCCTTACTTGGTAAATGAGGGATTTTGAATTTAGAAGGTCTCCAGATCCCTATTAGCTCTAAAATACTATAAACCTATAAATATAACCAATCCTGGGAAATCCTTGATCTTTTGCCATGTTATAGGCATCATCTAGATGCTCCCATTCCACAATCTGGTTTCCCTTGATGTTCTGAGTAAAAATTCTCTACCACCACCAAATCCTATTGTTGTCCCTCATGTCCCTCCCCTCCCCCTTCACTGTTACTTTCTCCCCTAAATACAGGCTAGTTGCTACCAGGTGATGAAATAATTGTACAAATCTTAAAAAGGAGTATCTGGGTGGCTCAGTCAGTGAAGCGTCTGCCTTCAGCTCAGGTCATGATCCCAGGGTCCTGGGATCGAGCTCCGCATTGGG